GATTCACCGGTCTTGATCACCAAACAGGATATCACCATCGATGCGGAAACCGGTTCTGTGAAAATAGAAGATGCCGAGGAGCATAAATCTAGTCCTAGCAAACGAGATGAGCCTACGGCGTCTCGCGGCAGACGTCGCAGGAAGAACAAAAATCGCAAGAACAACAAGTTGAACATAGTTCGGAGTTCCGCTACTGAAGTAGAGAAAGTCATTACGACACAGAAGGCAGACGACAAAACGGTCGGCGCTTCGGTCGAGCTGCGATCCGCGCAGTCCACCGGAGAGCAGAAAACCGATAGTTCTGTTGAGCAAGGGACCAGCGAAATAGTCATCGAATCGAGTTCGGGTGAAGTGACCAAGATCGAGGTCGTCAGTGAGAAACGCGTAGTGACGAAGACGACCGCTTCGGCGGTCACGTCTTCGTCGACCGTGGTCTCCACTAGTGAGGCTCTTGAAGGTAGCGCCAGCGCCGTCACCGAGACCGTGCAAAGAGAACTCGACCAGAACCAACAGATCGACCAATCGATACGGGAAGAATCTTCGAAGAATCAAGAAACTGTCGAAGAAATTGATACGGCAAAGGGGGAAACCAAAGTCGTCGAAGCCTTGGTGGCAGAGGACACTGAGAAGAAAACTGTGGACGCGAAGAAGAAAACTTTCAACTTCCTAGGATACTTCAAGTCGAAGAATACCGAGGTTTCTTCGGAGACGAAGGAAACCGAAACCGAGCTCGAAGCCGCGGTGGAGAAGGAAGTCTCCGAGATCACTCGAAAGGCCACTACTGATGAGGCGGCCGGTGGAGGAGATGCGGCCAAACCGAAAAGACGTCGCTTCAAAATAATTAAACGGTTCAAGAAAAAATCAGCGCACACTGAATCGACGATCCAGCCCCCGGAAGACCAAGCAGCCGGAGAGGCTCCCGCGAAGTCAACGGATGAAGCGGATCCAGAAGAGGAGAAAGCGGAAGACGGAGCCAAAGGAACCGAGACGACGGACTCAGCAGTTGAGACTTCTGAGCAGAAGACCGAGGAAGAAGTTACAATCAGAGACGAAAAGGCTGAAAACGGAGCTGAAGCTGAAAAAGATACCCCGACGGAGGAGAAACCAATTTTCAGGAGAATGAAACTCCCCAAGTTCAGTTTGAATCTCCCGATAATCTCTAAAAAACAGCCAAGGGAAAAGAAAGACTCGGAGCCCGCCGAAACCGAAGCTAAGCCGGAACCGGAAGGGATCAAGGCTGATGCCGCTGAGACTATCGAAACAGAAGCGGAGCAAAAACCCGAAGCTGGGGAAGATGGGAGTGATGAGGCCGAGAAGGCTGCGGGTGACGGGGAGTCTCCTGAAGCAGATGGGAACAAGACCGTCGAGGAGAAACTTGCCACCGAAGCAAAGGAAGAACCAAAACCGACGAAGAAGTCCCTTCTGAGCTGGTTCTCTCGTCAACCTAAACGTGGGACACCAACAACACCAGCGACGGCCGAGAGCGACGGCAAGGAGGTTGTGGGAGACGCGAAAATTCCCGGCAGCGAAGGAAAACCGGCGCACGACCATTCCGACGAAGAACATCCGACGCACCAAGCGGTGTCCGAAGATGCCGAGGGAGAAAAGGCGGAACCGAAACCTGAAGCAGAAGACGGCAAGAAGACGGACTCGGAACATAGAGAGGAGAACGATTCCTCGAAACCGAAGCGTTTCACTTGGTTCTCAAAGCGAAAGGTGAAGGACACCACTAATGAGGAATGCGTCAAAAGAGACGGATTCGCTGATGAGGCTGGCGCATCGAGCTCGAAATCATACGACCATTTCGGCCGCACTTACGTTTATAAGTGGCCTGGGGTCAAGTACTCAGCGGACGGCTCATCGCAGTGAGTCTGACGTATCCCTCTTGTTGATCGCCAGACCGCGATGCTGAAACAACGCTGCCCTCGACAGATCGGAGCGCGAGACCTTTGTTGCCCTTGGCCAGCAAGCGTACGGACGAGCGATGTGCGACTCCGAATCTTGTGGGCAATCGTTTGTTGATAAGAATCTCTCGAACAAGGAGTTCCAACTCCGTGTTGTAGGCTGGGTGGACGCTTTGCGGCCTAGTGCAATGGCTGCAAACTGAACCGCACCTTTACGGTTCCGCCCTCTCAGAGTCGTCGGATGACACTGATGAGGGCAGGCTTTCGTTGGCTTGAAACTCGGATCGTTACGTCTCCTTTGTTCAGAAAAATCGATACAATCCCAGAAGCTTTCGTCGGAAAAGGCAACATGTACGGGGAAACACAGAAGAGAGACACAGAAAATAGGTAGCTCACGACGAGAACCGTGCTGGATCTCGTTTCGACATGACACAATTTTGCAGGCGAGAGAGAGGACAAGAGATGATTCTTATTTAACTCTACGCCACACACTCCATGATCTCATTTTTTCATTTCATCGAACACAGCTTTCAACACAGATCTCTATAGAGTCGATAGGACAACATGAGCTAGGAAGACGAAGGATGGTCAAAAGCCTCACAGTCGATCAAATAACAGAATTGATTACCGACTCAATTACTTATACTCCATTTTACAAAGGAGCTGAGGGGAGAAATTATACATTTCGACTATACATCACTTTTACCTGTACTTAATCGTTCTTGAACTAGTTTGCTCGGAGCTTCCAAGCCTGAAGAGTTGATACGAGGTCTGAAGAGGATTCTCTCACATCGATATTAGGAAAGGGAGTAGACGCCAGTTTCGTTCGAAAAAAAAGTGAGGGCGCAACGCTCTCGCATACCTGCTGAATAATCAATTTGAAAGCCGTATCCCTCAGGGGCGGCTGCGGATAGACGTTGTACGATAACATTCTATTACTACCTGTGAAATACTGCGCGCTTTTCCAATGCTAACGGTTTTTAACGCTACTTAACCCCTACACCCCAAGATGATTTACTTACCCGGTGAAGGTGGATCGAAGCTGGAAGCCTGTGCATTTCGATCATCATCCAGATCTTCCTTTTGTGACATTCTTTCCGAACCGACGACTCGAGTGATCGAAGGAAGAAATCGCTGCGTGCGAATGCAGAGGCGTTTGAAAAGTCATTTATTTCTCTGTCGAAAACCTCAAAGTGCTTCAGTCCAGAGAGCATTTTTTTCGCATCTCCAGAGCGATGTCGCTAGGCGTATAATGCCTTACCTGTTCCGAACAAATGTACACTGAGGAAGCACCAGCGGAGAATGTTCGTGAGAGCTCTTCTAGGCAAGAGAAGAATTGATCGTGTAGGCATCATTCTCCATATTATCATGATCATCATCTCCGAAGTTCCCGATCGATAATTCCGACATTCATCAAATTCTAAGATCTCATGAGGTTGCTTCTTTTAATTTGTCCATCCCTTTCATTCATGCATCCATTCATTCATCCTTCATTGACCCGTGAAGCCGTGTCTGTATGTACTGAAGACCAATAGTTACTATCTATGGAAGTGCCGAACGAAACGACTGCTTTAATAACAGCAACAAGAATCACAATAACAAGAGGCGCGAGCGAGAAAAAAATAATCACAAAAGACAGTTGCTCCGAGCCCACTATGAGCGTGACAGAATTAACAGAATCTATCTCTTCGTATGAATATTAACAATAAAATTAACAAGAATCACTATTTCTATTAAAAAACAATCGTTGTGCGTTTTGATTGTCCGAAAAGGATCAGGAGCCGACAAAGAAAGCCCGAGTGCCTGTTAGAGAGTCAGGAACTCTAGACCAAGAGAGAAGAAAACATGGCCGCCAACAAGCTTTCTCGCCACACCTTTCAATGTGATTTTTCGTGTGGTCTGGTGTCCTTGACAAGTCGTGAATCGACCAGCTAGAGTCGAGAAGTCCAGCTAGCCTCCTTTCTACCTCCGAATGTGAAGCCACTGAGTTTTAGACGATTTATTGATCGGCTGAAATAAGCTCTTCAAACTCAGTACATACATTCATAGCTCGCCTTTTCATACTGCCACTAATACTAGCCTTACCTATAAATATGTTGTGTTTACCCGAACGAACGAGAAAGTCAACAAAACAGCATGGAACTCTTCAAAACTCATAACCCATACAATCAGGTCCTCGACGAAACGTTTTTCATCAGGGAGTATCGCACGAATAGCGTGAACTACGTCATTGTAACGCCCAGATGCCCAATACAAAGTCACTCACGACAAAAGTCATCACCCTGTGGTTCACTGCATAGACATTCGACCGGAGATTAAACCACTAGTACTGACACGACGAACGACAAATCACACAGAGCAGTTTTGGAGGTAGAACGCGGTGGTGCGGACTGGCTGCAACAGCTCAGTGCTTTTGGAGAGATCACAAATTCGCTCATTACTCAATCAATCGATCAATCTGACTTGACATCGAACGAAGCACTTCCCTCATCATAATTGCCCATGAAGTCGCTTGCCCATGTTGGCTGTGCGGGGTGGCAGAATTGCTTGTTGACGGTGATGTGTGAGCCGGGGTGGGGGGTCGGGCTGGTGGCACGCGGGTGATCGGTGGGTCGGTCGGTCCGTTGAGAGGGAGGGTAGCCGGGCGGTAGTAGGACACTAAGTTGTTGGGTAATTTAGAAACTCGATAGCGGGAAATTAGATTCGTCGCTCGTAATGGTGGTAGGGGGGTTTTTCGTTCGTTCTTTTGCTGCCGACGGGTGATGGAGCAGAGACTGTTGTTGGTAAGTAACCGGTGGGTGCATGACGGGCGGGGGCACGGGTTGAATGACAGCATGCCAGCCGCTGGGATGAGAACCGCCTTTCTCTACCTCCAAAGCTACTCTGCACGCCAATACTCAATGATACTACTACATCTATACTACTAACATCAGACATGCACTCCAGACCGGAGACGTGATCGCCTCGAATGTGAGAGACAATCGACGAAGGAGAGAAGAGGAGAGAGGAAGTTGAAAATATTCCCTGCTCTCGCCGGGAGGAAACTCATGCGTTTCTCTCGAAAGCTAACAAGTTCATTTCGTCGGTCCATTGCAGGCCCAACCGATCCATACCGAGATGGTCACTCGACTCTTGGGCAACCGGGTAGCCGTCAGCCCGATTGTGACCGTCGAGCCGCGCCGACGCAAATTCCACAAGCCGATCACTCTGACGATTCCGCTGCCGAAAGCTGCTCACAAGGGAATGACCAACCAGTACCAGAACGAGTCACCTACGCTCAGATTGCTTTGCAGCATAACAGGTAGTGGAACTAGGACAGGTTTGTTTTGATATACCCTACCAGACAGTCGATCATCACGGGCCGCAACGATCTTTGCCTCTGCCGGAACGGCCTCAATCCCGAAATCACTCTCAACATTATCATCAGCTGCCGCTCTTCCACGCGTTCTCTCTGTCACCCGTTGCGAGATGGAATCGTCGATGATCTCGACCTCTCTATTCACGCTACGCTCACGAGGCTTCTAGATCGTGGTGTTTTTTTCCTCGAGCGAAGTCATGCGATGCCTCTCTGTTGACCAGAGTTTAAGGCGCGGTCCCTCGTGGAGAGTTGGAATTCGGCTTTTTATGGCGCTTGTCTGTGGCTACCGCAGATTTTCGCACCGCGAGAAGATGGTTTTTAGACCCACAGCGAGAACTATCGGTGCTTCTCCAAGAGATCGATAGGACCCCTGCCGCAAGCTCGACGATACACATATGTATACGTAATACTGTAGAATAGTGATACGATCTTAGTGCAGCTCATTTGCTTCGCTGATGGTCTCGCGAATGTAAACTAAATCTTCCCTCCGTTCGAAGGTGGACAGACCAAGGCTCAATGGGAAGATGTGACTGGATCGACTCCTTTGACTTTCGTGAGCGAATGCGTATCGTTCACCACCACCGTTTCTGCCAGATTCTGGCTGATTGACTGCCGTCAAATCACCGATGTGACCAAATTCGCAACAGAGCTCTATCACGAAGCAGTGCTGGTCCCGTTCATGGCCAAGTTTGTGGTATTCGCCAAGCGCCACGAGCTGCTCGAAGCTCAGCTTCGGGTGTTCTGCATGACAGATGACCGAGAGGACAAAACGCTGGAAAACCAGGAGCACTTTGCCGAAGTTGCGAAGAGTCGCGACGTTGAAGTCCTCGAGGGAACTGAGCAGTACCTCGAATTCGCTGGCAATCTCGTGCCCATTACAAAATCTGGCGATCAACTCGCTCTGACTTTCGAAGCGTTCAAAGAGAATCGCGTGTCTTTCAATGCTCGCGTCAAGGTTCGTAATATTATCTAGACTGCTCTGGAACAATCTTGCCGATCCGGAGCTTTCGCCCTGAGGCGAAGGTGCGATACGCGTTTCTTGGGCTTTGCCACGCGGATCGCCAGCCGCGCACAATGATGGGGTTCTCAACCTCGCGATGGGTATTACAGGACATGCACCAAGAGCCGATGGGCCGCGTGGCGTTCATGAAAGATCCTAGAGGAAAGCACCAGGACGTCCCTCAGAATCCTGTCTGTAATCTCAACATCCGACTCCCCGAACCGGTGGAGTACGAGAGTGTGCCGCTGGAGAAGAAGTACGGCTTCGTCCGCCAAGGCGGAGCCGGCGATACTCACGAAATGATCCATCGCGCTGATCTTCACCTTTCCGATATCGCAAAAGAAGTCGGAAACGATTGGGCAGCTCTCGCCGGCCAGCTTGGCATTCCCGTTCAAGAGATCCAACAGATCAGAGACGAGGTAGCCAACGACAAGGAACAGCAAACTCTCACCATGCTGAAAATCTGGATCCAACGCATGGGTCCCGCCGCCACCGGTAACGCTTTAGAGAAAGCCCTGCAGAACATCGGACGGGACGATATTGTCCACAAGTGCATGTCCAACATCGAGGTGGTCACTGACGACGTGGAGAAAGCGGTTGCCAAGGTCCATCTCAGCGGACCTGGCTCTATTACCAGCGTGACCAAGACCACTGTCGTCACGACCAGCTCTACGGACGAAAGAGACATAATGAAGGTGAGCAGGAATATCCATGCTCCCTCCACGCATTAATGATTTCGTGGAGTTAGAGAATTCTTTTCGACACCAATTTTTTTGTCGCCGCATCGATCCGTGAGGGACGGGAAAGATTCAAGCAGAGGGGAGGGGGCGGGAAACGCCGCCAGTACCGATGAATCTCGTGATCACGTGATTATAGTCGGCTGATAATTCGATCATACGACGGGTTGATTTCTGTTAGCTGCGACCCTCGCAGCATTAGATTCTCTCGCCGGTCGGGGCGGGCATTAGCGAGGGTGACTTGCGATAAATGAATTTCTCTCGCATCTGCCACAGGACGCTGAATCTGCCGAGGATACAAGTAGTGGATCTGCAAGAACAAAGCCGACTGCGACCCCTGCACCTGTTGGTAAGGATCATCCTCTCTAACCCAGGATCTGAGTCGTCGACGTCGTCGAAACTAATTCCCGATCCTCGTTAGACCCATTCATTATTTTTAATTTCGGATCAAGTCTTCCAAATTCATCCGAAACCCCTAGTCGTTTCTCATCCCATGCCTTTGTGTGTTCGTGAATCCTGATTCATTCATGCGTGAATGCGAAGTGTCTCTGGTATATGACGATTAATCATGCCGCGTCATGCCCATGTTCGCCACCGCTTCGTGAAGGGCCCCGGCCTAAATACTCGGAAAGTGTAGAGACTAGTCATTAATCGAGTCATTGCGTTCAGTTCACGCGACAACGGTATTGAAAAGCAGGACAGGTACGTTAAGAGAGCACAAGCAATCCACACAGCTTTGAGGAACGATTCTATCGCGAGCCTTCGACTCATTCCTCCTGTCCGATGTCAAACATCAGCAAGCTTCTCACTAACTTCCTCACTCCATCGCTGTGTGGAAGCCACACGGTCTGCGAACACTCCATCGCTGAACACCAAAAGTCATCCTAAGACAATTATTGTCATCGCTATGGTCGCGAGCAGTCATCGCTTGAATCATTAAGTTTGCGAATCGGGTTCGCGACCTGCGACACTCCCGATTCAATCAGATTCGAGTCAGGGCTTTCATCCAACGTTTTTCCGCAAGAGCACAGACCGCTCGTTTTGCACTTTCGTTGAGACGTTGGAAAATTTCCAGAAGCTCATGAGGTTCACCAGACCACTATCGACGTAAAACGAGCAGAGAGTAAGAAAGAGAGGACCCCCGAGCTTCGCAAGGAAAAATCATCCGAAAAGTCGAAGACCGACTCGAAGAAGACGAAGGAAGAATCTAAAAAAGATGACTCGAAGAAACAGTCACCCAAGAGAGAGATACCACCGCCTCCTAAAAAGGAGCCTCCTAAGAAGGAGAAGAAAGAGGACCCTCCGAAGAAAGACGCCACTGCCTCTAAGAAGGACGCGAAGAAAGAATCTTTGAAGAAGAAGGAGGAGACCAAAAAAGAGTCATCTCCCGCTCCACCGAAGAAGGAGACGTCACCCCCTAAGAAGGAGCCGTCTCCTGCGCCGCCCAAAAAAGAACCTTCACCCCCGAGGAGAGAAGCTAAGGCTAAGGAGGAGTCCCGGAAACCGGAACCGAAGAAAGATTCTCCCAAAAAGGAGGCTCCTAAGAAGGAGGAGAAAAAGATCAAGAGTCCTTCAGCAGCTCCTCCCGAGCCGCCAAAGAAGCCGGAGGAGAAGATCAAGGAGCGAGTGACTGCTCTTGCCGAGACCGCTGTCTCTGAAGTCATCCAGAAAACCGAACTTCCGAGCACCGCATCGCCTCAGAAGAAGAAACGCGAGGGCACTCCGGTCGACGAGCTTTCAGCCGAACTCTTGGAGCAGATCGTCCGAGACGATCAGGACTTGGCTCTGAAGGGTACGATATGACGAATTTTGATAGTCGACGCTTCGGGCGCGTGATGAAAAACACGGAAAAAAGGAAAAATGTTTGGCTCGCAATCCACTACGCTCTGACTAAAACTTTAACCACTGAAGGTGGAGCTTCCAAGAAAGCGGCGAGAGACGTCATCGACGCGGGTCCGGGAGGTGTTATGGGTAGGAACGTCGATATTGAAACATACATCAAGGAGACCACGCCCGAAGAAATTGTCATTCCGGAGTACCGCCAGGAAACTCGAACGGTTACCATGACCTCTATGACGACGACCGTCACCAGAGAAGGTTAGATTGGTGTTGTGACCGCTTGGTTTTCGCAATCACTGGGCTGCTTGTCGCTTGAGTCACAGGTTTCGAAGAGCTGTCGGTCGGTTGGGTGGTCGGTCGGTGGTTCACCCGCCCGCCTGTATGTCCGTCCGCCCGCCCATCCGTTTGTCCGCATCCGTTTAGATCAGGAGCGGTCACCTGGGCCAGGATTCGATCTCCAGACCGAAATTGCACAAATGTGATGGCGTGTGTAGCACTGTGTGTGTTGTTGGTGTCGGAGACTAATTCTTCCTCTCTCTTACTCATCTGACCTGATCATGGTGGTTGGTTGCCTCGCACTCACTCATCTCGGGGAAGTCCTCTGTTCCGACGACGCACCGGGTCCCGGACGAGGCTACCGCCACAGCAGCAGCTAAGCTATGGGGCACCGTTACAGGGGTAATTGGCGAGCTTGGGGCGGCACTAAAGGACTTTGACGATGGCGACCTGCGTGGTCCTATCATCACCGAGATTGGCGATGCGGAAGCGGCTTTGATTGCTGAACAGCAGCAGCAGCAGCCACAGCAGCTGCAAGAACACCAACATCAACAAGTGCAAAGCATGCCGCTACCAACAGAGCCAAGCTCGTTTGTGCAAGAGTCTCACGGGGTCCTTCCCGATGGGACGCTTCAGCACACGATCACAAAAGTGACGACGACCACATTTGTTCAAGGTATCGAGCACTTCGCACAGGTCCAAGCACCTGATGGATTCCGTTTGTTTTTACTGTGTGATTTTCGTTCGTTTCCTCGGTTCGGTCGAGATGATTCTTCTTCTTTTGTCGTGTTTTCTGAGTGATCATAATTCCCCCCTCGGATACCCACACCACCCCTATCACGCCGATGATTGCCTCTCTTGAACCTTTCCTCCGTTCCCGTCGTCGAGAACCCTTCCTTGGTCGTGAAGGATGGAGCTCGGTGTTTGCACGGAAGGCGTGATTGTTCGATGTCAACTCAATCTTTCTTCGCGATCATTGCAGAGGAAGGCCAACCCCCCGTCGAATTTTCGACGCGATTGCACGAGTCAGAGGCTGGGGCGTCTGACGCAGATACCAGCCAAGTTTCAGTTTCCAGTCTTCCCGAGGACGAGGGAACTGTTTCTTCGGGACTGCAGCATATGCAAGGTAGGTGACATCCGACAACTAGTCGCTCATCGAATTGACGTGACGTGAGAGATCATCGTGGAACATCCGCGCCTGTGCATGAGTGTTTGTGGAAGTGGAACAGGTAGATATGTACCTACGTATTCCCGCATTCCGCTGCATGAGATGTTGGATCTTGGAGCATGCTCACACTGGTCTTAAAAGCCACGGTAGACGAATCACACGGTCATTAAGTGACGAAGTCAGTTAGTCGATTCGGCGATCGATTGATCGAGGTGATTCTCATCGTCGCGACAGAGTCGCCTCCGCTACCGGGAGTGAGCTTGTTCCGAGTCCGAGCCTTCATTCGTTGCCGTCATCAAGCGCAATCGGATCGGTGGATCAACGCAAATATCATTCCCACCATCCCATCACCAGAATCACTGCAAGAACATGAATGAGGAGCTGCCGTTGTGGAGAGGCGTGCTCGCAATCTTCGCTCGGTTCCACTCCGAAAATAAAATCCTGAACACTGGCGATCGGAGAGGCTCGCCTCCACTGGGCGCGACCTCTTCGATCAGAAGTCGTGCGTGGTCGAACGTCCGCGTCGCGGTGGCGCGTGCTGTACGCACCGGGAGAAGCTCAAACAAGAACACAATGAAATATCATCATTACTCAATCACAATCATCCAATCATCGTCTCATTGGCGGCTATACTCGTGCGGCTCGTTTCATTCCCGTCGTCCATTCCGTTAGTTCCCTTATCGATAGTAGTCATGAATCCAGACAGTCAGTCAGCCATTCAGTGAGTCAGTCGATTTCAGAAAAGAAGTCCGTCAGCCCATTGTAGTGAGGCGGGTGGTTGAGGGTCATTGTGCGTGACTGTGTGTCTGATGTTGAAACCTTTCGCCTCTGGCTGTATGAACGTTCGAAAGCTTTGAGTTTTAACCAGTGGTAGAAACCAAGAGATTTGTGCGCGCGAGAGAATCGCTCCGAGAAATGCGAGAGAGAGGGAGAGAGACAGACAGAAACGGAACGCGAAAGCGTCGGGAGTATTTCGACGAGGTCGTCGCAGTGTACGACGATCTGAGTCGACAGAGAGATCACTGTCTTAGCAGAGTGCACGTGAACGCAAAAGCAGCAGCAGCAGAGATTGCGAATGACAGAACACGATCAGAGGATCGGAAGGTCGATTCGATCGAGTGCATTCGTGCTGTTTTCGAGCATTGGTGAAGGTCGTTGGGGTGGAGCCATTCATTTCGCTTATCATATACTTGACAATCATCACGGCTCGATCGTGAGGTAGTGCGTCAAGCCCATCAGTCGCCATCATCGCTAAATCATGGGTTGTGGGAAGCCTATTGGTCCATCATCAAGGTCATTATTCACTCGCAACAGAGGCGTCGCGTCGCTTCCCATTGGGAAACGGCAGACCTCGATTTTGTTTTGTGCACAAATTCCCACATGGGTAGGAAAACCGAGTTCCTTATCCCGATTTTCCTCACAGTTTTCTGCTTCTCCTCCTCGTCCTTGATTTTGTTTTTCGAGGGGAAATATCGATTTATGGGGAATTGGTTCCCCTCAACAATTCTTCTAGGAGCAGACGCTGTTTAAGAGGGTCTCGGATGTTCTTGTGTGAGTGAGTTGTATCTCATTCGCGTTAGAAAAACAGTCTTCCCGTCCGACGCATACGTCGGACGTTGTCAATCACCATCCTCGCGAACCTTGCTGCGGTGCTGAGAGCTATCCACTCCGATGCGGAGAGATGCTGAAAGTGAAGGAGAGTAAACGAGCCGATCACAGAGAACTCGGTCAGTCCAGTCCAGTCCATTGACGTCAGCTTTTCCCGAGCTCTCCGGGGATGAGCGGAATTTCTGAAGCGTACTCTTGCGGATCTCAAATCACCCTGGAATCTTGGAATCTCCACATTCGGTTAAGGATCCTTCCGTGCCGCCTCGACTATTCCCATCTTGATTTCGTTTCCTCATTCCATGAGTTGTTTATAAGTTGCCGCTTAGAAACGAAGCGATTTTCTTTCCCGCTGCGTTACGTTCAGTTCAATCATCGACTAGAGTAATGCAGTATAGTTCGACGCGGAATAAAGGGAGTCCCGACTCGTTCCGATAGCTTAATTTGCGCAAACGGGTTGCTGCCGGGCTTCCCGAGTTTCAGTTTTCCTCACGTATTAATTTTCTCCATCGGTTGTTATATTTGTCGTGGCCTGAGTTCCTGCCTGGTCTATGAGTCCAGTTCGCCGGGCTGCTCAAATTGAGTTTTATATTTCCGTTGTACCTTCTATCTCTATATCTATCGATGCATGGATGGTATGGCGATTGGTCAACTTTCATCATTCACGTAGACCGAGAGCGACGCGTTGCTTCTACGACAGTCATTCCTGCGAGTGCTTCGAGCGCTGGCCGGCAGCAAGAAGCGGGCCGAAGCTGACAGGCGAGGGTTGCGGCTGTCGGCCCGCGAGGTCGGCAACCACCCTGCGCTCGAGTCGGAACCTTGAGTCTTCGAGTGACTGCGTAGACATTTCGAGGATCGCGAGAGATTTCATATGTGGTTCACTCAGGTATCGCCGCAAGGACGTCCAAAGAGGAGGAATCTGGACCTGGAGCCGAGGCTATGAGTTTCATAGAGAAGAAGGAGTACTTTGAAACTCTGGCGACGGAAACCGCCGAAGTCCTCTCACCGACACAACGGGAAGGAGGAGCAGCTGTCGGCGACTTTGGAAGGAGATTGTCCCAGGAGCGTCAGATGACCAGCGCAATCGAGACGGCCCAGGAGCCGGCCGCGAGCCGCATCGTCGGTGTCGCCAGCGCTCGCAAGGAAGACGAGCAGACGGCACCGACCCCGCCGCAGGAGATCAAGAGACTCCTGGTGAAGACCGTCGAGGAAGGCCGCGAGGTTCAGGAGTTCGTCGACCTCATCAAGCAGGAAGCGCAGTCGACAGAGAAGACGCAAACGTCTTCGGCCCCCGAAACCACGAGAAAAGGAAGCCAGAGCGAACAACCAAAACAATTGGAGCAAGCTGAAATCAAGGAGCCTGTTGCACCGGGAGCCGCCGAGCTGCCGAAGCGTACGACGAAAGTCGTACGGAAGGTCGAGGAGAAGAAGAGCAATCAATCCGACACGGCGATGGAAGAGACAAAAGTCAAAGCAGGATCAGGAGTCGACAGTGACAAGGCCGACGAGGTATCCAGCGAATTGCCTCAGGCCGAAACCAAGTTGAGCTCTGTGTTTGGAGAAAAACTCTTTCCCAGCGCGGCCGCCACCAAAGGAGAAGCCACGCTCCTAGACGAAGCCGCTCTGGAGAAGTTCACCGTTCACTCTTCGGAGGAATTCACTCTGCAGCACAGCGAGGTGTCTGCCAGCAAGACTGTCGTCATACAGCAATCGAAAGACTCACTGGTTATGCAGGAAGAATCTCCGCAGAAGGACTTCACTGGATACGATATCGGCTCATCGCCGACGATGTTGGCCCACAAGGTTCAGATGCCGCTGACGCCCGAGTTGGAACGCGACGACATGTTGCGCGTCGAGTACGCATCCGAGGAAATCGGCTCCATCCAAATGGAGACCACCAGTTCCATGGGCCAGCTGTCCCCCGACGAGACCGACGAACACGTTGCGAGTCCGGGATCCTCGTCCCAGAAAACAGAAACCAAGTCCGAAGTAACGGGGTCCGCTGACAGCACCGAGGAGGAAGCCTCGCTCTCACGCGAAGTCGAACAGATCGCCCACAAACTCCAGGAACATGAGCTCGTTTTGGAGGAGGAACTCCCTCTGACCCCCGACGTGTCCGAGTATTCGGACAAGGTCGCGCCCGCCCCGAAAGGCCCGACCAAGGAACAGCTGGAGCAGCGCGTAGAGGAGATCGCTTTCTCATCGCCCGAGGAGCCGTCCTCGAGGAAGGATTTCGACCCCACTCAGAGGAGCACGAGCCCTGAAGCTCTCGACAACGAAGAGGTCGAGCCGCGTTCCACCGTCAGCGAAGCGTCGGGAGGCGCGGCGCCCGTCCCTCGGCCAGTCGGAGCTCTGTCTCCGGACGAGTTGAGCGTGGCCTCTTCGAAGGATTTCGACCCCCAGCAGCGTGACCTCAGTCCAGATTCGGAATATCCGGACGGATCTGTGAATTTGAAAAAGGCCGCTGATATCCTGGAAGCCACCGAGGAAGAGGATAGCGAGAGTCGTAAAATAAGTCTGGAAACAGTTTCCAGCGATCTCACCAAAGAGGAGGAACCATCCGACTTTTCCAGATCTGAATTATCCGAACAGGTGACGCTAACCGAAGACTACGACCTATCCCGATCTCCGACGATGAGAGCCCACGCGGTGAGGATGACGGAGGAGGCCGCCGATCGTCTCCTCCATGCGCAAGAGTACGAAGAGGTGCTCCGGATGCAGACCGACAGCGAGGGGAGTTCCACTCAAGCTCCTCAGAAACCCGTAAGTCTCGGAGAGCCCGCCCGTCCCGAACTGACCGTCGAGGAGAGCACCCCGATTCAGGAAACCGCAAAAGGGGCGGATGTCCCAGAGAGCTCTGATGACTACGACGTACGGAAATCACCAACCATGAAAGCTCACGCCGTCAAACTCACGGAAGAAGACGCCGATCGTCTCCTTCACGGCGATGAGTACATGGAAGTGCTGCAGAGCATGGAATCCGACCATGGGGTCTCTCAGGAGGTTTCGACCTCGATCGAGACTCGGTCAGATGATTTCGATATCCGCACCTCGCCGACAATGAAAGCCCACGCTGTCAAGATGACCGAGGAGGATGCCGATCGATTACTTCACGAAGACGAGTATCTAGAAGTACTTCAACAACAACAACAACAGCAACAACAAGATCAACAACAGACTGAACAATTGGATCAGCCGAGCTCGTACGATATCCGAACCTCGCCAACGATGAGGGCACACGCCGCGTTCCTCGGGAGCACCGAACAGAAGGAAGAGTTCCTCACGATAACCCAAGAGGAGACCGTAGTAACCCGTCAACACGATGCCCTTAGCCCCGACGAGCCCAGCGTGGCGTCGTCCACCAAAGACATCGACCATCATGCGAGGGGTTCAAGCCCCGAAGCCCTATCACCCACTGAAGTGAAACCAGCCATGAGTCAAAGCGTCACAGAAGTCACCACGACCACGGTGACGACTTCCGTTCAGGAGTCGTCGAGTACTCCCGTAGACGAAGCCATGCCACGACAGGACTTTAATCCTCTACAACGGAGCGAGAGCCCAGACCCTGAGGCGCTCATGGATCAAACCGAAGTTCCTAGATTCACCATGAAGACGACGAAGACTGTCGTGGAAACCGTCGTTCTCCCAGAGAGCGGAGAGCCCGTGATCACGAAAACGACGACTAAGGACGTGAAGTACACCGACCCGGAGGGTGTTGAGCATCAGATGCACAGCGTTGAGAAACTCGGAGATCCGACCCAAGCGGATCAACAACATAGCAGTATTCCCAAAGACATTCCAATGGCTCGCGCTCTGTCAGAAGAGCAGTCCGAAGCCATTAGTGAGAGTTCAATGGTTGAGAGAGAACTTAGTCCTGAGCCGGAGGCCCTTCAGGAAATGATGAGAGCAACCAGATCTTCGACAATCGAACTTTTGCAACCACAACCGCAACAGCCACCACAACATCAGCAGCAGCAGCAGCAGCCGCAACAACAAACGAGCACCGCGCAGAGGTCGGTTCAGTTCGACCAGTCGGACAGCCTCGCGTCGCACGTTCAGTTTCACCATCCCGACGTCGAGAAGATCTCCGAAGAGATCCGATCGACCCACGAGAAGGCGTCGAGCCTCGTGCAGGAAGTTACCGAAAGAGCCGCGGAAATTGCTTCGCAGATGGCGGCGGCCGCAGCGGCTGCCGCCGGCGGTCGAGAGCCCGCCGCCGCCGTAGGCCAGGACGACGAGAGGACCTCGAGTCCGGACACCGAAAGCTTCATCGATCACGAAAGAGACCGTGCCCAGGGCGTGGCTCGCGATATAATCGAAGAACTAGCCGAACAGAACGACTCCGATGAAGATCGAGCACAGCACAAGGAGAAGACGATTCTGCTCACGATGAACGACTTCAGTTCTTCGCTTGAAGAAGAAATCCTAGAGACCGGATCCGCAGATAGCCTCGACGTCGATATCGAGGCGGAACATCCTGCAACCTCCACTGAATCAAGCCATACAGTGCAAGAGACGTTGCAAAAGGAATCCGAACACCACTTGTCTGAAGTTCCAACATCCACATCTGCAGCTACAGCTGCATCGAGCACCGCCGCAGCCTCAGCAGCAGCAGCAGCTCTATCGTCAGGTAAAACCTCTTCTCAATCTCTCGTTACCTAAACAGTAGTGCTTTGAGTGATTGATAGTCCGAGTGATCGATGAGTGATTGATTCATGCGTGTGGTGAGTCTTCCTTTTCGTCATCTGCATCGATGAACTCCTTTCTTGATCTCCTGCTCCTGTTCTCCATCGTCGACGATCGTAGTAGCGATGCCCCTACTTCATCCGGCCCGAGGATTCCGCTACGTCAAAGCTTCTCGCTCGATTTTTAGACGTTTCCCGTTTTCCTAGGAGTCTCCACGATCCCTTTGATTTTTCTTCTTCATTTTCAAATCATGTTCTCCCTCGAGATTGACGCGCTCGTTAAACGCATGGATCAGATCGATCAGTCAGTCCGAGATCGACGACAGCTGTGACGTCGATCAGTGCGGGTACCATTGTCGACACGTGAACGCAGGAGCTCGGATCTTTTGCTCCGCGAACGCTCTGCTGCGAGTTCCTCGGCGTACCCGAGTGCTCTGAGGCTCGCGTGCGCTCTCTTTTGCGTCACTGAAAATTTCCGAAGTCTCTGATATTCATCTAGAACGAAGATCACAATCTGAATGTCGAAAGTATGTGTCAGCTACGCACTGCAATTAGACACTGTTCCAACACCTCATGCCATGAGTCATAAAGCCTCATAAAGAGAGCCCTAAAAATTCCATCTCTCCGCCTTCACGGTGAGATCCACCGTCGCCCTTGGCGAGGGATTGCTTCGTCGGTGGGCGAAGTTCGCGATATCAAGTGTCTTCAGCTGTCGTAGGGGAGGTCCAAGCCTAAGATCCAATTAAATTCGCGGAAAATCGATGCTGAGCTGCCTAATTGAAATCCACTGCGGCGCACCCATGTTCCTTCCAAAGTTTGTTTTATTGGATCGCTCTCCCCGAACCTCCAGATCCACGTGAACATCATGCCTGATAGATAAGGTCTGTCTGGACCCATGTGTCCAAGGAATGGGAAGGATTCCCGTAGCCGAGCCGATATCCTTCATGGTTGTTCGACCGTTTTACCTCTACGTCCTACCGCTGATCATGATGCCGTCCAAGATGTACCGTAGATCATTCCTGAATGTCTTCATGTCTTCATTCATCGTGCGTACACGCACCTTCGTTTTGTGAATGTATCGGGCACGTCAATCCCGGTTATGCTCTCTGCCCGTCTGGCGATGGAGCGACCGCTTTCCGTGTAGCATTCTGTTCGAGGATCACCCGTGAATCGTTTTCCCCGATCGTGTCTCCGTCTACAGTAGTTCCCAGCATCCCACGCCCCAGAGAGATATCTACCCGCGATCGGAACCTCCGGTGATCCGATTTCTCACGGTTACCCCACGCATCACGGGAACCATGTCTCATCCCATAAGGGTTTGGAATGTTTTGTGTATGAAGTCATTCTGGATTCCGGTGACCCAGTCGAGTCTCTGGACGCGTCGAACAGCATTGGATATCATCGCCGATGTTTCCTCGGCCGTACCCAGCGAAGCGATTGCTGTGGTCGTCGTCGCTGTCAGCCCTTGTTGTGATTTATTGGTTGGTAGTTGATTGAGTTCAAAGCTTGACTGGTCTGTCCAGAGGAGTAATTTCCTTCCGAGATCTGTACGTATACTTATTTCTCGTTATCCGAGACCTCGGTCCATGCACTGTTCGTACCGAGATGCCCTTTGCTTGCGGGAAGCCCTCGATCAGTCTGTGTCAGGGGGCTGGTGATCATTTGAAGAGGTCGACCAGAGGTTCAGTCCAGTCCGGAGGGAGAGCGCCTTTCTCTCAACAAAATCGGGCTCCTACCCGAGGAAGGTGGAGCGAGGGGGTGGGGGGTCCGTTAATGGAGCGCACTCTGAGGGGGCCAACGCCGCGTGACTGATGAACTGATCGATGTTTTTACAACAGAGCGCGCTGCCGACGATGGGCGCGGCAAATCCGCTGGAGATTCTAGCGTGGAAAACTCCATGACAATTCACGAGCATCCGATGGCGTTCGAGAACGCGGCGTTCCGAGAGGACTCTGGCGGCGTAGTCACAGGCGACGTTCGTCCAGGTGAGGAGGAGCCCGGCGATGACGAGGAGCATGGACAGAGTATTCGGTCCTCGGCCGCGCAACTTAGTTCGAGCACCTTCACCGCAAGCGTGGAAACCCTGACAATCACTGATAGCACGTACACTACAACGTCTACGTCTACGACAACGACCATTACGAGCGGTAGTGGGACAGTGATCGCACAGGGCCTGTCATCGAGACAGGAATCCAAGGACGAGTCCACGATCTCGCAGGATATCACTCGCTCGGCCTCGGACAGCGGCGATGAAGACGCTGCTGCCGGTGGAGATAACGATGATGACGACGACGACGACGAAGACGACGATAATCCCAAACTCGGTGTTCAGTTGCGCGTGAAAAGAGACCCGAGCTCCTCAGATCAGAGCAAACGTCAGAGTTATCTCTCGGAGGGTTCCTCCGAACGAGACTCGGACCGACAAACCCAAGTGCCTTCTTCGTCCGAGCAAATCTCATCGACGACACATACGTCTGAATATGAGACCGCATCCCAAGGATCGAAGCTCACGATCTCCACATCGTCAACGACGTATAAGACGGCGCATTCGTCGACACAGTCTACGATTTCCGATGTTTCGGATCATTCCACGAGTCATTTCTCCACGGCGACCATGGGACAGAGCGGTGACCTTTCGGACGCGAGCGACACGATCCTGGAATCACCAATCGGTCCCGCGGGCGACAGACGCGAAGGTCTGTGGGGAATCGAATCCCAGCAGCAGCAGCAACAACAACAACAACTGCACCATCACCAGCAGCAGCAGCAACTGCCGCAGGAGGAACAGCTGAGAGAAAACCTGCACCAATCCACTCAGAAGCAGAGCCCTCCACGCGAGTTGGCGCTCGGGGAAGCTCATCAACCCGAAGAGAGCAACAGTCCGATGGAAGAGCTGCTGCGGAGATATCCGTACGGACTTCCCAGCAGCGGAATCGAAGCAGACGAGGATGAAGGCGGCTACGCGGATGGCTGTTACGACAAAGCCGGAATGGGTGGAATGCTAAGGAAGAAGAGACTGAGTCCCATCCTGGACGACCACGGAAGCACGCCCGACGCGGATTCCTCGTCCATGAAGAGATCGCTGGGTCGAGGCAGCGAACGAGACGATATGAGCGTATGTTCTCTTCAAGAATTTGAGCGACTGGAGGCCGAGATGGCTGCTAGCAAAACCAGCGTTCCTTCCAGTTTAGAATCGAGCAGTCAGCTGGCCGGAGGCTTGCCTTCGGCCCTGAGTTCGTCCCAGCCGGCGGATTTCGAGCGGCTCGAACGAGAAATGCAGCTTGAGAGTTTGAGTAGTTTGCACGCGGAGAAATCATCGGCGGCGGGTATGGCCGTCATCCAGGAGCACGATATGTCTTCCTCTCAGTTTGGTCAAGCCGGAACGACGCTCCAGGCTGGAGCGTCCTCACTTTCCGAAGACGATTCCACCGCGGCCACCACCGAACTCCATCGGAGTTCCCACGCCCAGCAGCGACGACTCGAGCAAGAAGATTCCGTAGCCGTTGAGCAACGCAACGAAGAGCTGCTGGACAGCCTTATCGAAGAGATTGAGCACCAGCACAAAGACGAAGCCATTCACCTCGACGAGGACAAAGGTATCGAGCCGGACTCCCTCGGACAGGAGCGGACGCCGGACTTTCCCGATTCGTTGGCCCAGTCGCGTGGAGAAGCAGCTCTGTACGATTCGTTGCACGAAGTCAAGGAGATTGGGGAATGGGATTCATACCACGAGGGACGGGACGAATTGGCCGAAATTGCACCGCGTTCCATCGACCCGCAGCGCTCGACTACGCTATTTAGCGGCGTTATCAGCACGGAACAACCGGACTCGGGTCTGTTTCACAGCGACGATGAGAGAACCGCCGTGACGATGAGCAGCTCTTTGTCAGCCCGTGGGCCTCTCCCGGCAGACTGCAAGCAAATTCCAGGTAGATTGTTCATTCCGTGATTTCTTGTTCTTCTACTTCGTTCCTTACCCGAAAGCACCTCACCTTCCACCATTGATGGCACACTCGCATCGTGCAGCTGCAAATGAACGCATTGCCGGCTCATCATCGCGAACACAGAGAGAGGAATGCAACAATTCTTGTGAAATGAGAATCCCAAGCTGCATCTTGCTCGTTTGGTATCCGTGTATTCTACTTGGTTCATTTATTGATTCGTCGGTTGGTTGGTTGGTGGGTCGGTCGGTCGGTCGGTGGGTCGGTAGGTTTATTGGTCGCTAATGAGCGGATGATATCTTATTCAATTTGCAACGGAAATTCCGCAATGATCACGGTGACGGCTCCTCAATACTCAACTCGAGGACGAAAAACGAGGGAGAACTCTCTACTCCTCTCTCCGCGAATGGTACCTACTATTCGATTGATGAGTCAAGCCATCAATCGTCCCGCCTGAGATATTCATGAAAATTGGCCACGGAACGGTGTTCAGAGGGCGGGGGAATTACAGGAAAATTCATTCAAAGATCACTTGCCTTCACCTTATCACCGAATGCCTAACTGATCGATCTTCGGTCTCAGTTTCTTTGTAGTGTTGAAGTCACTTAATTTTATTTTATTACATTTCTGTTAAATATTGGTTTTACGTTTCGATCGATGTCAGGGTCGGCACGACGGTCGATCACCCCCTTCTGTGGAGGGTCGGTTGGCGGCTCGTAGTATACTACCACCACGATTCCACGAAAGATGCTTTGCACAACTTCGAACTGATCTCGCCACGCACTGAGCCAGTATATCCGACGAGATCATTTCCGAAGTCGCCTAGTCGACTTGGCAGCCACAGCCGATCGGCAGCTTCATTCGATTTATGAGCTCATGAAACTTCAATAGATATTTCGTTAAGTGGTAGCATGTGTCTCCGTCGTTCAAATTTTCCGTTCACATTGACATGCATGTCTCTGGTCGGCTTACATTTGCTGATGCATTTCATTATATAGAAACAAGTTAATCATGAGGTAGGTGAGGTGCCTTACTAGTTTCTCGCACGCTCTCCGAGATCCAGCGTACGTCTGGTGTTCATCGCAAAAGGAGAGAGAGCGATTCCCGGAATCGACCTCTTCTCCGTTACCGCATGCCTTCCCGGGAAAACCACCTCATCCGAGATTCCGAACCGCATAGCACATCGATCTTCATCTTTCAGAGAGTCTTCTCACGGGCGAAATACTGACGGCAGCCGAGTCACACACCGGTGTGCAGTGAGTTTTCCAAATCTTTAGCATTGATATTCCAAGACGTGTCTTTCTTCCTTTACTCTTGCTATTAGTCCCGACTCGCTCCCGAAAAAAATCATCATCCGAATGTGGACCTAATCGATCCCCCTCTTCCTCCAGAACAAGTGTGACCACCAGGACCATAACCGAAGTCGACTATGACTCCGAAGGCAATCCGCACGAGAAAACAGTCACCATCACCACCACTCGCAAGGTTACGACTGACAAAGATGGTCAACAGCACGTCGAGGAGACGGAAACCAGGAGCTAGATTCTTTCCATCCTGTCTTGAAACCTGTCTGGAGGGCCGTAGAAACATGAAGTGTGGAGCGGGGAAACAAGCAAATCTTATTCATCATACTGCCAAAGATATACTCAGGAGTAGGCTCTGTTTGCCAACGAGCTAGTTCGATTGCGACAACAACAACAAATGAATCAACTCCTTAATGTACCGAGTTTCCTGGAGGGGACTGCGGTCAGTAGGCCCTCAGGGCGAGCGACGCAAACCGCTTCCAGACGAGATCGCTGAAGAAACCAACAAACAAGAACGACGTTTTGCAAGAAACATAGACACACTGAGCAATCCGGGCACCTCCAAGTGGAGAACCGGGCGGCTCAGCGAAGCTTAGAGAAGAGAGCGTCGAGGCTGTGGAAGTCAGACGAGGAAATTCACACCTAACGTCATGCGACCCGACGTGCATCGTTGCAGCGTGCCTTCGTTCGCGAGGCGCACGAGAGAGAATTCGAAATTTTGCGTGACTACTGCGAGTCAGTCGATTGGTCGGGGGATGAGGAGAGAAATTATCCCTTAGCCCGGAAGTCTTTTTGGGCAACCGAGAGGATTGATTTCGTTCTGGGCAACGATAGTTATACCCCGAATAGCTGCAATATATTTCATGTAACCGAAGTAGAACGCTACCATGAATTCTAGCGAAATTTACGCCCGAATTCCGCTTTAATCTTCTTCGTTCTCCTTGCGCAACTATACCCATACTACGATATCCTAATCGATCCGGAAGATATTCCTAAACGAAAGGAGATGTACCAACAACGGCAGCAGCCCCAAAAACGTGACAAGGATAGATCTGGTCGAGTCGTGGGCCTGCCGGGGCATCATGGTGGCAGTACCAGCAGAAAGGAGCGAGTTTTCTATGGTTAGCCGGATAGACTTCTCGAGTCGTTCTCGGAAGAGAAAATTCGTGGACTCGAACGAAGTAGGATCGATGCTGTTGCCACGAACCTTGCTGGAAACATGATCAACAGCACCGGATTTCGCCAGTCTACAACGGGAAAGCGCTCCGTGGTGAGCTGGACGTGTGTCCAACTCGATATCGTCTATGAGACTCCAGCACTATAGGGAGGAGGAGAAGCAACGTAATTCACCGAGATGAGGGTGCAACGTATACTTCGCGATGTATTTACCGGAACAGCACTTTCCGCGTACACCATGATGACTTAACCAACTATCTACTCCGATGCAAGATGAGGAAAATGAATCAAACGTGACTGGCTATAGATACAATTATAACTTCCCGTCATCACATCCAACTTATTAACACTTAATATATTAATAAATTATTACCAATTACCATTACGAGATGCCTCTTCCCTGGAAAGTGATTCGAAACGAAAATGATACCGGCATTTTGACGTCAACTGTGACGGCACTGAACGGACGATCAGCGGAGCTCAAGTCTCGATCAGATTGCGGTTGGAACGCATGGCAACCCTTCATTCAAGATCCAGCGCCGAGTATTTATCCAGGAGTCTATTCGATATCCCTCGTATAAGGTCTGGGCTTCTCAGGGAAATCATATGTATTATCAGGGCGAGACTGGTGAAGCTGGCATTCATATGCGTAGCTCCAGTTCGGGGTCGAATTTCAGTAGCTCAGTCGGCATCTTCGGATATATGGTTTGAAGATTCCCCAGTGGCGAAGGAAATGTTTCCCTCGGTGACTACCCCCTTCGCACAGTCAGATATGCAGCTTGAATTCTCTCTTGTCTACGTAACCCTCCTCACATTCTCGCATGATGCTCAAAGACGAGATCTGAGCCCCACGAATTTCGCGCCAGCGATGTCTACGAGACTGAGAGCTAATGATCCGCGCGCTGTCTCCCATTTTCGATCGAGCCCTCAGCTGAGCTAAGCATGGTGGTCCGAGTAATTACTGGACTTTCAGAGTTCCAAGTTATCACGGTTTCCGTCGCGAGCATTGGTTCTACGGAGATTCGGACCGTTCAGGGAGCGCGCTCAACTGAACCGGATCAACTCGACCATCGCGCCACATGGGTAATCCGACCAAGAGTTAGAAAGAAGTCCCTCGTACCGGGAGAGAGAGAGCTCCCTCGTCGCACATAGGGATGATCTGCACAGGGAGCCATTTCCAGAGAAAAGATTCCAGCCATGTTCCCAAGTGACATGATCCATGATTTCCGCGCATGTCACCCCCTCCCACGGGCTTCAATTGGACGGTTTTTTTTCCCGCTCCACCGATGATGCATCCACTTCTTTTGGGTTCTGCTGCTTCACATCCATCTCAGAAATCTCCGGGCGGAAGGATATTGATGAATACGCTCTCGATAGACCGATTTCGATAATAAAGGGGAATAAGCGCGTTGGAGAGCCGCTTCCCGCGAGCTCTCGCGGGAGGGAATTGTTGCAGAGAAATGGGACAGCTCGGTAATCTTCAGAGGACCACTTTTTCTCTTTTACTCTTATATGTACATACATTCCGAGTCTCCAACTAATTCCTCCTCAATTCAGTTGATCAATACAAACTGATGATAGGTCTCGAGACCGCAATCTATCCTTCATCGGAAAAGAGAGAACCTTTTACCGCGTTTCGTCTGCGGATTCGCTAGACCTGTCTCCACTTCGTCCAATGCCGGCAGTCGTTGCAAATCACCTGAAAGTCAGACAGCATTAACTTTCGAGGATGCGAATGCCAGAAATTTTCCCGGCTCCTTCCTGCGACGAAGTTCTCTGCCATGAATAATATTTGACAGTTGTTCCACGATCGATTTCGCCGGTTTATCCCTCTGAGAACTAACCCAACGCAGCGATCGAGGCTCGCGTTCGAAGCATTCTCTGGGCAGCTCTGTGGATATCTTCTTCGTTGATTTTATTGATGGCGTCTATATAGTGAGCTGCGTTCCGTCGTTTCCCCACGGAGAGTACTTGACGACCGATGTCTTCGAACAAAACGGGTCTTTGTTCCAAGTTCATTAGCAGCATGCTCTGCAATTGTTTCTTCGCCCTTTCAAGTTCAACAATACTAATACGTCCGACCATGATCGCGAACTCATTGACGATGATCTCGACCAGTTCCCCCAAGGCAGAAGGGTCAGCGGACGCATGGATGCAGAATATGCCAGAGTCATTGTAGGCATGGTTGTAAGCTGTGGCGTTGAACATCCAGTGGTACCTTGCAGGGGACAAGCATCCGATCAGAAAAGAGAGGAATTCGTCGACTCGTAGACCTTTCTCGATATCTCCGAAGGTATCAACCCTGAGACGTACTCACCGATTGAGCACATTCGTATAGAGACGGCTGTACATTCCTTTTCCTGGACCACCGGCAGAGAAGCTCCCACCCCCACCCATTAAGATGTTGAGTACGCAATAAGTTATGAATTCGGGATCTCGATGCGATGCGGACTCGAGGGCCAACATGAAATGAGCGAGGTTGGGAATCGGAGTGGGACCGAGCGACATTTTCGAGAGATCTTTCGAGACCTGAAAAGGAACGAGAAAGGAAAAGTTCAGGGCTGAACTCTCGTAAATACTGAGTGCAGCGTTTATCGATTTCGGGGCACTCGAAGTCGGTCAGAGAAATGAAAGCCTCGCTCGAAGTCACCTTCACGATGCCTCCGGTGTACTGCGAGACGGACTCATCCGTTTCGAGCGAGGGATCGCCAACCAGTGAGGGATTTTCTACCCATATGGGTTTCTTTTCAACGAAGTTCCTGCAAATATTGATAGCTCCCGTATCCAAAAGGCAGAGCTCGAATCAAAAATACCGAATCTGTTCCCTCAACAACTCTCGGATAAAGATAGATGGAGCCTTGAGTGAAGTCGATCATATAACGATAGTGATCGAGGTGGGGAACTCACTTCTGAACGCATTCCACTAGCCTATCGTGATCTATGCCGACGCCGGCAACAACCATTCGTTCGGGTGTGAAACGTTGCTTGAGGAAGGTGAAAATCATTTTCTGATCGATAAGCGGAATATTCTCCTCCGGGCAGAGCTTCGGCAGACCGAGCGTGTTGTTGTTGAAAGCTGCCTGGAATTGCGAAGGATACAATCAATTTTTGAATGCAATGAGCCGCAAAGGCTTCCTGTCTCCTAGAATTCGCCGAGCCAGACAGACCTTATGGATCATTTCCGTCAAGAGGGTTTCTTGGTCCGGCTTCATGTCGGCGTCTCTGAGTTCACATTCGATCGCCTGTCGCGCGAAGAAGAGCTCCTCGTCCGTTACTTGGGGTCTCAACGTGACCTCGCTCAACAATTCAATCACAGAATCTAGACCTCGCGGATCCGCTGAAGCTGCGTAGATCATGGTGTCTCTCGACGTTTGGCAGTCGCAGATTCCTCCCTGTCCCTCGAGAACCTTGAAAAAGAGTCAGTTTGGAATCAAGCAAGTGCCTAGGCGAGGAAGGGAAGCTTTATTCTGGCAAGGAGCCTTCTTTCGTGGCAGAGCTCCCGGAAACGCAGGCCCCTCTGTCTCAATTACCTGTAGGACCTCATCACGGTTCTGGAAACGTGAAGTTGAACCGAACGCTAACTTTTCCAAAAAGTGTGAGATTCCCGAACGGAACGCCACTTCATAGCGTGGACCGGAGTCGATGACAACTGCAAGGAGAAATTCAAGCAATGAAGAGGCATACCTCACATTTATGAGCGCTTTTAATCCGAATCGGAAGTCTACTCTCGAGTATTTTCTCTTATATGGGTCCAACATCTCACCCCGGATCAGATTTTTCCGAGAATAGAGCGACGAATGGTCGAACTCACCTCCGACGGTTGAGAAATGTCCGAAACGGTTTTGTGACGCGACACGGATACCGTTCTCCAGCGTGGTGACCTTGGATTCATCATCGTGAGGGGATGGCTTAGCATATGTGACTTGAGGAAGTCCTGGGAGTTCTTCCGAGAGGGAGACTTTGGTCAAGTCTGCGACGGCCGTTTGACAACCTCTGACTGGGCATCTGTGGGGTAAGTCTTGCTTTAGTGAGGGTCCACGGGCGACCGTCAGGGACAGGCATCTCAAAAGTCAGAATGAGCCTAAGCGAGGGACCGGTCCGGGAAAGGATGATCGCTCCATGTGATGGGTCTTGAGGATCTCAGGGATTTGTCTGATTGGACATGAGGCTACCCCACGATTGTTTGCGAATCAAGGACTTGAGGCAAACATCATTGAACGATCTCTCTACTGAGAGTAAGTTCCCGTGTCTCCAGGCAAAGGGGCTCTGAGGGGAGATCACCTTCCTTATCAGATAGAACTCGGAAACCATAAACTGCTTCTTTGGAGCTTTTTCTTCCATTTCTGGATCCCGACTCTGCGTCAGATCATTCTTTGCCAAAGAGTCAATGGAGGTTCCGCTGATTTCCGCAGACATCGCGGGCAGGTTCCGACCCTTTTCCAGGTGGTTCCAGACTCTTGAGGACACGGCTGCTCAACTCTCACGGATCTTCTAGCCCCATGTCACGCGGCTCAGAGTCTCCGGACTCGAATCAACGAGCAGAGCCCCAGAGCGCTGCTTTTGAAATCCGATCTCGAGCGCCTGGTGACTTCGGAGAGGCCGTCGATCGTAATTCAAGGCGTCCATCTGTCCGGGAGCTGCCAATCAAACTCCAACGGTGATAAAACTCCCTCATCGAGTATCATACCTGGCTCGGATCCGAAAAACCTTCTCGATCCGCGCACCGAGGCGCAGCATGCCTGCCGACATCTTTCTGCTTGTGTTTTGAACATTCCGTCGAATAGCTAGTTGACGGACCCGCTCGAACTGCTCCTCTCGCGCGTGCTCCAATTCTTCTCCAAAACAGTGGTTGACAGTTATGTAAGGCATCTAACTTCTCGATCCGCGCGAAGCCGATTCTCTCACAAGTTGTAGATCCTTAATAGTATTAGAGCACTTCCTTCCTATTCATGTTGGACCATTCTCTTCCCTACGTCAATAGCGATGCACCAAACACTGATATCTTCAGAGGATGTCGATGATCAAAATTATCACATTCTTCCAATGTTGATTCTATGCCAAATCCTCAGCCCGCGATGAAGCTGGATCGAGTTTTATGGGGACAGAAAGTCATCCTGATTCCCTACGGGAGACAACATGTCGACAAATATCACAGGTGGATGCTGGACCCTGTTCTCCAAAGACTTACGGGATCCGAACCTCTAACGCTGGAAGAAGAATACGAGATGCAGATCACCTGGAACACCGATTCTGACAGTGAGTAGCATAACGGTATGATCGACGGTACTGTCTGATTATTGCTCAGTCGAGATTACCCCGCTGAAGAATTTACGTTGGCGCCGACTCAAGCCGATTGAATATTGCGGAGTATCACGACGCGGAACGAGTCGGGCTCTCTCGCATGGGATGCAGCGAGGAGCCGCTGACGTTGTGGGTCTGAGAGTCGATCAGAAGTTCGGTTCAATCACTGAGGATCAGGAATGAGGATACCAGAAGAGGAACGATCCGTCTCCTTTCCAGAGTGCACCTTCATAATCCTGGATCGAGCCGTCTTCGCCAGGACTTCCGATGAGGTTGAAGCAATGATCGGTGATATCAATCTTTTCTCGCAAACAAATGATCGGTCCGGAGAGGAGCGTTTGTTTGAACTCGCAGAATGCAGCGTGATGATCGCCGAGGAATCGTCACGGAAAAAAGGCTTCGGGAGAGAAGCCATGTTCCTGATGCTACGGTACAGAGCTATTCCATTTTCGTTAGTGTCCGCGAGTGACGCTAGTTCCAATGTAGATATATGAAATCGAAAGCTAGAAGGATAACATTGGGGAGAGAATGCAAAATTCACCGAGATCATCTATCGAGCAGGTTCGCCATCGACGAGCTCGCGAGCAAGAGCTTCGTCGCCAGAATCAAGACGGACAACGTCGGGTCCCAAGAAATGTTCTTGAAAATGGGTTTCAAGAAAGTCTCCGTTAGCCAAGTATTTCAAGAAATTACGTTCAACGCCGACGTTCGTGACGTCCTAGAAAAAATTGAAAATTACAATTTGCTGTACGACGCCTCGACTTACGACGAGTTCCGGTTAATGTCGAAACAATAAATGTTTTTCTTCCTGGAAAATATTCCTCGCTTCAAACGAGCAGCATAATTCACTCAGGAATCATGCAGCTAGAAATGCGAGAGTATCGAACGCCCGTTTCGGAGCGTCATATACAATCTCCGAATTGGGCAGCTTCATTGCCGGATAAATCCACGAGTGGAGTAGCTCGAACCGAGTGAGCCTGGATCAATCAATCAATAACTCTTTTATTCAAAAACAAGGGACGGGACTAAGATATCGAGGAGTCATAGCCTCGTTCCAGAGGCAAGGGGGGGGCGCAACGAGTAAGGAGGGAAACTTTTTTTTTGTACAAAATAGATTTTATTTATGTTATTATTCCATTTTTTTGTTGATGTTGTCGTTGTTTCAGTTGTATTTGTTGTCAAAGTTTTAATAAATTAAAAGTAAGTGGCTTAGTTACAAGAAGCGGTGCCGGCCAACCACACATGTCGAACAGTGTGCGCGAAGGCACGGCGCCCACCTTAATCGGGCCCACCAGGAATCGGACGAACAGACATTGGGACATCATAGGCCAGGCTAGCGAAGTCAAAGTTCAAGCGGTATACCGGCAAAATGCGTATTTAGAAGACATGGGTGACATGATATATTCTAGAACTAACTACGAGCGAACTCTGGATCAGCCTGGACGCGCAGGACCAAGGCGACACCGAGTTCGCATCTGCTACAAAATAAATATATTTTCACGGATCGCGCGGAAGGCGCATCACATAACGTTCGACAAGAGTTTCTCGTTTTCCGAGCACTTCGGACGTGAACGCTCGCAGGAGTTGGAAAAAAACGTCCGCTACAAACTGTTCGCGAAATGTCGCTCCAACGGAACGGTACCCTGATCGTTCCCGAGCACAGCGGGTCGCGACGGGCACGTTCGTTGGGACGCGGGCGGGCAGGCGGGGACAGTGACCGACACAGTATGATATCGCTAAGCCTTAAGTACGAACGATGGGGATCATCACACAGGGGAAACATCGCACATCAGTGCACGTCGGTCCACTGAGACCGGAATGGGGTTTAGAGAAAGAAGAGCGGATCTTCGGGTAGGAGAGAATTCCGCCCAGACTGCGATACAATTAGAAAGAACCGAGCAGGAAGGAGGGTATTGACTGATATTCGCTAATCCAAAGAAAAGTCCTCTGTCCATGTCTGCAGAACCAGCTCACTGCTCCCGCATATTTTCCCTGCTTCCTCGTTTTCCTTTGTCTCAGTCATTCGACAATCTATTGCATCAAAATGTGTGTTGTTGTGAACGAATCGAGCAGCTGGGAAGCGTCTAGCCTCCCAACGTGACGAAGGAATGCGTGGAGAATTTTCAAGCTACATACATCTCCCCTCGAGATTGCTTCGGGCGATTTTCCCTGCCCTAATGTAAACAAGTCAAGTCATACGCCCAGGAACGTTTTCATTCCATGCGGCGTCCGAGGGAGCTGCTAGCGGAGCTGCAGAACGGGACAGACATGATATATAAGGAGCAGCTAGGCGTGAAGAAGATGATTCGACGATTTTTTCGAGTTTGATATTTGTTTGTGAATTCGTTCGTGACTAGAATGGATTGTTCATAGCTGTCCGAGAGCATTAGAAAATGCTTTTTCTGCTATTTCCGCTGCTTTTTTGTGCCCTCGAACAAAACTGTCCTAATACTGTTCCTACGATTTTTTTTTCGTTTCTCCGAGAGGCTTCCACGATGGTAAGCGGAGCCGTCTGAAGATCTGCATCGATCACTTCCAGCAGTTAGAGTGTATGTTTTGTTCGTTCGTGTGCTGTCGTCAGTAATTCGTTATATCCGCCATGTAGGCGATTGGAAAGAGAAACCGTAAAATTTCGATTGAGTGATGCCTCGCCGATTGTTCACAGCTCGTCGCTTATCGATTGCATTCCTTGTAGTCGCAGCTCATCGGATCGCTCCGTGAGCGCTCATGGATCGATTCGCGTTTTGGAAAATTTCACGACTTCAAGCTTTCGAGGGAGACCACCGTCACGAAGCCAACCGAAAAGAACTCATCGCCGATTGGACATCACTTATTATAATAATAATAATTGATGGATCATTATTGATGATAGCGAGCCACTGATAAAGCAGCTCGAGGTTTTTTCAATCGTCTTCTGTTTCGCTTCTTCGTTCCGGCCGATCATGTTCCGGCAGGATCCGGTCAATAAATAAACAGAAAAGTTGCAATATAAAAATATATATATTACCCCTTTGTCTTCGTTGAGCATTTAATGTTATACTTGTAGAGCATTGCGCTGGGTGTACGCAAAGGTCTTCCTCTCTCTGAATAAATATTTTCTGTCTGTCTGTCTATCTCTCTCTCTCTATTTGTCTGTCTCGCTCGCTTTCTCTCTATCTGTCTCTTTCTCTCTCTCGTTCTGTATTCACCGTCCTCGCCGAGGTCTTCCCGTTCTGGTGTGCCGGCGGAAACGATGACGACGACAACAAAAAAGCGTCGGCAAATCCTTCGTCGCCTCTTTCTAAGCTTCGATCCGCTAGGTACCGCTAATTGTCTGTGTGTACAGGCCGATCGTCGTTACAGCATCACAGCGCCGGTCTCCACTCGAGCCGGAAATCATCTCAGAATTAAAGTATATAATATTCGTCTAGTACCTATAGACGACTCTTGTCATCATCGCCATCACCCCCATCACCATGGCTTTAATCGTCGTCCCTCATCACCATTATCGCGTCACTCTTACCGCCATCGTAAGCCTCGTCGCAAGCATTTTCTTCGAACATCTGATCCTAATCGTGTACACAAGCCTTTCTTCCTATCAATCAACTTCCTGACCTCGGATGGAAAAATACTGATGGCTACGAGAATATTTCGTGATGACGACGATTGTTCCCGCCGGTGATGCTGGTGCTGGCGGTGATCCGGTCGACTTGAATTATTGCGCATCATCAGTACGGTGTGCCCTGATCCTTTGACCTTTTCAATTGCACCTTCAGTCTCTTGGCTCCGATCTGGAAACCGTTCATGGACTGGATGGCGGCTTGGGCGCTCACTGGACTCGCGTACGACACAAATCCGAAACATTTGGATAGGTTCGTCTGCTTGTCTATGAACACCTTCGCCGAGATCACCTGACCGAACGGCATGAAAGCCTGGACGAGGTCAATGTCGGCGAACTCTTGAGGGAGATGATAAATGAAGAGGTTCGCTCCATCCGGACCTTCGATCTGCTTTCCGGCCGGGCTCTGGATCGTTGTCAAGTTGACGAACGATGCCGGAATAGTCGCTGGATGATACGTCTGGGTCAGGTCTGTGGAGAGGACTATTCTTAGGCGTGACGCCCGCTCTTGTCTCGGATCGAGAGGGGACAAAACGAGAATCCATGCGACCGCTCCGCTCACCCTGGTGATGATTCGCCATTCCGTTGGCGAGTGAATTGAGTGAAACGGGACTGAGAGAAGACACTCCCGACATGGAAGAGTTTCCTGATGGGGATCCATTCGATTGCGCGGCAGCCGAAGCCAATGCGGACGCGATGTTCTGCATCACAACGGGGTTCAGACCGCCGGCTCCTTGCGGGCTGTTGGCGAGTTGAGCTAACGCGGCGATCGACTGGAGATTCGCGGCGTTGACATCTGCGAAAGAACATCTCGAACCTTCAAGACATTATAACCATGTGGGAAAGCGAATCTTCGTATTTCCAAAATAGGGGATAGGATCGGGATCAGGGATTCGTGTTTCGCGGGTTGTATATATTTTGCGGGGTTTATATCATCGCAATCGGAGATTCTCTCCTTTGACTAACCTCCACCAGGATTGGCTGTGGCTGTGAGGGCGGACAGTGCGGATGGTTGAGCTGTGTAGCCTGAAACTGAGGTTGCGATTGATTTTAGATTCCAGACTACCGGTGGAGAAGCTCGTTCGAGATCCAATCTCCAGGCCTCGCGTTCACAATAATTTCCCCCAGCGAATCAACTTCTTCTCCTCAATATTTTTTCAGTGGCAGGAATAGTGATGGTTCATTTGACGGTAGATGATGACCTACCCGCACCTCCGTTGGCAGCGACCAATGTTGCCAACTGAGCGATGTTTGGAACAGGTGTTGCTTGAGTGAATCCGCTGAAGCTGTTCTGAGTCTGCAAGGGTGGGACGATGAATCTTAATCTCGCGTCGATTCCCGTGGAGTGTTCCCTCCGATTCGTTCCTCGGGATCTCCTCGGAAATATTCCGACCGCGGATTCGACTCCGCATACGACTCACTCTGGCCTCCGTATACTCACAGCTGGACTGACCATGTACGTCTGAGGCGTTTGCGAGAGATTGACGATGTTCGCCATGTTCCAGAGGTTCGTGATCATCTGTTGCTGCTTTTTCTGATCTTTCTCTTTTTGAGTGTCAGCGAACTTTACAACGAGTGGATTGCTGCAACCTTTCATGGTTTGCGAGTGATTCATCGATTTGATAGCGTTTATTGCACACTGGCGAGTGGAGTAGGTCACGAAGGCGCATCCTTTGCTCTGGCCTTGGCCGTCCCGAAGAACTGTGCATTCTTCGATCGTCCCGAAGGACGAGAACATGAGACGGACGTCGGACTCGTCGCACTCTTTCGACAGCATTCCGATGAAGAGTTTTCGTTCTGCAATGACAAGCATCGACCATCGAGTCTCGGTCACGATCTTGCCGTGGGCGGCTTCGCTCAGCTTCCGGAGCGAGCGTTTCGGACTAGGAAGCGAGCGGCGTGAGTGGACAGCCAGGTATCGCTTATGCAGATACGATCAGAGTCGACAAGACCTGGTTAGCAGCGATCTTACCGTTCCGATTCTCGCTGTCAGCAGGTTTCATCTGTATGGGATGGTGCATGCCGGGCAGCGTCTTGATGTTGTGGAGATCGTTCTGAGCATCCAGTGCGGACTTGCGAGTGTAGAAAGTCACAAAGCAGCATCCTAGAAAAGAAATCTAGTCACAGGCGTATCTTTGATATCTGGCAACGGAGAAAAACGACCACGGTCAGGACAATGATCCTACAAGTAGTCGAGCCAACCTTCATTCGGTTGGGTGGGCAAAAACACATGACTCTATGAACGAGCGACGATTCTATAAATAAGTGGGCCAGCCGTATCCACCCTCAGGCTGGTCGGACGGCCACAACGAACATCGACACGAAGAGCTTTGAGCCTAAGAGCTCAGGCGCAGGAGGCTATTAAGAGACTAGGTTTCATGTGCGAACTGCTACCGAATGTTCTAGCGGGTGGACTGTCGTCTTCGAGATTTTCTCCAAGATCCCCCCGTCCCGGAAGACGGGAAAGCGGAACCGAGGGACCCCCTCTTCACTCCGATGATCCACGGAGCTTCCCCTCTTCGGCCACGGATCTCCCCACCGGAAATCAACGGTAATCCTTCGACGCGCCAAAACTATTATCGATGCGCGTTATCGCGGCGTCCTATCTGTTCACCGAAAGATATCTCTCTCGCAAGGGCCGCCCGCCCGCTCGCATTCGATTCGACATAACGACGGCGTCGAGCCCACAACTGGCTCTAACGAGATCTTCTCTCGAGCCTGGAAGAAGGCTCGAGAGACAAACCACAGTGGCTCAAGTGGCTGGCCTCACTGTCCGTCTGGCTGCCTACTCGGTCGCAGGAGAGTCAGTCGCTTTGCCGGACCGTCTGTCTGAACGACCCGGCGATGCTCGTGATTGAAGAGACATTTCAACAAGCAAACGTAAGCAGGAAAGTGAATAGCCGCCACGGGATAAATTACTCACTCACTCGGTCACTCACGCGGTGCGCACCTGTACGCGCGTACACATCGATGACTTGACCGCTTGTCATAGTCGAGATGCCCGGCCTCGCGATCTCGAGGATTCGCGGACCGAAGCGTTCTCAAGATGCCGTTCTCTTTCCCGCTGATCGGTGTTTCATCGATAAATTAGCTGTAACTTACCTCGACTGTTTCCGGTGGCCTTATCGCGAAGAACGTTGATCGAGTGAACCTTTCCGAATTCTTCGAAAAGATTTCTTAGTTCGTTCTCATCCCAGTTCCGGGGGATCTGTCCGACGAACATTTTGATCGCATCTGGATCGGGTTGCGGCTGCAGATCTTGCTGCTGAACCGGAGAGTTCATTTCCTCTCTGAGAAACAAGAAATGACAATCGTTGATTAGAGATTCCGGTACCGATCGAGCGATTCAGATAGAAGCGAGCTTCAGAGCTTCTAGAAATTCGCCCTTTCGCTTGCTCGCTCGAAAATTTATAGAGTTCTGTCAGAAATTTGTTAGCGGGTTTGGCTCAAGTCGCAAAAAAAACTCCGGTTTTTTACCATCGTTTTTTGCCCGTCTAGGAGCCCGCGGCAAACCGTCATCTTCGCCGGACAAAAAACAGAGCCCAGCAAGACTCGAGACCGGCCCGAAATTCATTTTTTAACGTATGCTTTTAATGTGAGCGATAGTTTCGAAAGAAGATAAGGGTTTCATTCCGAATAAGTGTTCCGGGTTCAGGCAACAAAAACTTATCGGGCTGCGGTCACATCATTAGTTGGAACTGATTTTCAAGTGAGGGTCTGGACCACTGTGTGGCATCAGGGGGTTCAGGTCTGGATAGGGTGGTATAGAGAAATGATCTGTGGTGAGAGGGTTCTGTTGTTGCGTAAGGTGACTCTTCCGCTCGCTCAGCATCTTTTACCTGAGTTCGACTCAGTGGATTGTGCCATGCGGCTGCCATGTCGTCCGATATCTGCTGCGAAAATCTGCCCGGGAAATATAGTAGTTGTCGAAAGCTGTCGAAGTCGAATGAAAACCAACGGAAAAGCGGAACACAGACGTGGACGATGGCATACCGAACGGGCAGCAAGGGGCTTTTCTACTACGGATTGTGCGTCTACTCTTCGATTTAATACGTCTCTAATGACAAGATACGTCCCAGACAAGAGGACACGGAGAAGGGGGAACCGGCGGGTTATTTCTTTACAGTCGCTCTTTTCTCGCGAACCCCCGTGACTGACTTCTGGACTTTGCGTGTTTTTCCTCTTCAGAGAGGAATGCGCCCAAGAAAATTCGTTTCCGACACGTTTCTCTCGAGGCGGGAAAACCTCGATACGACGACGACGGCGTGGCGGCGGGCACGATCGAGGTGGAAAGGATTCCGGGATTGATGATGATGATGATTATTATTATTAATGGAGAGAGTGGTGGGATTAAAGTGGGAGTATTGCGTTCCGCGATTAGATGAAGGAGATGAACATCAGAAAACCGAATTACTCCATCCAAACAGAAACATGTAAGCGTTCAAACACATGCTTAGTGAAGAAGACGTTGAGACCTTGAGCGAGGACAAACCTGGACTGCGTATGAGTATCTTGAGTGGGGTGCACCAGAGAACTGGCGATGGCATCAAGCCGCGCCAGCTTACAGGGAACACTTTCAGCGATGTCCTTCGCCGAGCTCATGACGTCGCTCTGAAGGACATGCACCTCGAACCGGGCTCGACACACAACGGACTCTACGAAGGATGAATGACCGTCAGCGGCAAACGAAACACCCCCTCAAGCAGCTCCTCTTCGCGAAGAGGTACTAATGATACACAAACCGACTTAGCCACCGACCGACTGACCGACCGACCAACCGGATCGTACCGTTTGGCACACCGGTCGAGACACAATGACGGCGTCGGAGACGACGACAACGCGTAAACGCTAGAGAGGGCCAACCACTCAGTACGTTCGAAATGCCGAGAGATAACCAATACTTAAAACAATGGGATTTCAGGCTTCGAAACACGGCTTTGATCGTCGTCGAGCTCACACAGACACAACCAGCACGCGGGAGAGAAGTTCACGGAGAACACCGTGTGCCTGATAGTCCTGCGATTTGAGCGCAACAACATTCGCTGCCGCACACTTAGCGACCTCTGCACGTGCGCAAGTGGCAACGTGGTCGAGCACAGATTCACAAATCATATCACACCATCGAAGAAGCCCCATTTCCGAATCAGATCCTCTGAGACAGCCGGTTCGAGAGATCTCATTTCCTCGAGGAGTCACAGCAGCACCATGCAGCGCCCATGGAGAAGAGCTCCGGATAATTCTTCTCGGTCTTTGACAATTCCCCGAGTCAGAGATTGACGCGGTCGCGGGCAGACTCAACCGGAAAACAGAAATTATTCTGAGGACTGGATTCCGGGTCCATTCCGGATGGCTGGGACCTGGCTTCCTCGGACCGCTCGTCGCCTCGATCTGATCCAGTGCCGGTTACGAAACACCGGTTATCACTCCATGGTTCCTCTCTTCTCTCTCGTCCGCTCAAGTACGGATATATCAGAAGTTGGAGATTCTTGGGCGAGGGCGGGCAGTGCACTGTGCTTTCGCTCGGTCTGAAGGGCCTCCTTGTAAAATCTTCGCGTTATCTTTCAGAGAGCGCTCTGTGAGACGTGGCCGTCGTCGTCTCCGAAACGGGTACCTCTGTCTGATACTACGCGCAGCCAGCGCTCAACCGCACCTTTAGCGACGGCAAATCATCGACTTTGGAACTCGGAGTCGAATTCAATGGTGTTCGCTGCGTACTCGACGTTCGAACTCGAAGCTGGGTCAATTTGAAAAAAAAATTCTAGAAAATATCTAACGATTCCGTTCAAATCCGATGAGTAGATCTCGAGGAGGCTGCGACGAGAACGAGGAGCTCTCTGATCCAGGGGAGAGACTCAAGTGAAAATTGACACTTCCAACGTCTCGATCAGAGTGTGTAGCGAAGATGGAACGAGCGCTCGTTTCGAGAATTTGAGACATGAACCGAGGCAGAGTATTCGACTCGAATTACCCGAATTCATATACAGAAACCGAGAGATCCACCGAGACACCTAAAATACGACTGAGATACTATCCCAGCGAATTCCTGGCGCTCTTCTGGACGCAATTATGCATGAGCCGGAGTCCCTCATAGTAAATCCGTGAGTACGGGGAACGAAACACATGTCGGACCACACCTGCGCGATATTGATTCATCAAGCCAGTAATCTCCGAGCGATGAAAGATCCCCGTCGCCCTGTCCGCGTATCCACAACAGTTATCCAAGAGCTCGTGGAACTTGAGGAATCTTATCCTGACAAGATGTAAATTGGCGCGAGCTCTGCACTGAATGTTGACGGCCGCCAATCAGGGCGAAGGGAAAACTCAATTCAGGAAAAGCGATTCGAACGAGCATCTCTGGGAAGATCGACAGGAACTTCCGAGTAGGACGAAGCGACCACATGATTCATGGACCGTGGACAAGAGCCGCCATAATGCTCTGCGTCAAGACACGGAACGGGCTGCTAAGGCCGGCATTGCTGTATCTCAGGTCGTGTGGAGTATGATCGGCCCTCTCTAGCGATACCGTTACACGGAAACATTGACGAAAAGAATTCACTCATATTGAACTTTACGCTTGTATATAGTACGTTAGTACGACGATGGAGGGAACGGTGACCACCACGAGCACGAAAATGATGATGACGACGCGGCAAAAACAACCACCACCACCGTTACCAGCAACACGAGGACGTAGATTCGAGAAGTCGGAACTAAATGTTCTCTCGTTGGCCAGTCTCAACGGAAACGGCGTACACGTCCAGGTATTCCGGTTAGGGACGACACTTCACCGGTGTTAGCGCCGGCCGCCGTTGTTTCCGTGGTTCAGTCGATTGATGATGCGGTGGTCCACACGGTCTCTCCAAGCTTGTTGTACTGATAAGCAATGCGTTCCTTCTCTCTCTCGTAGAGATAGATACCAAAGTGTAAGAGGGAGGACTGCATGCGAGTTAGCGGCAGCGAGCTCTGGGAGCGTGTGACTCGAGCGCCAACTCAAGTCATTTATTTTTAGAAATTGCGTGATATTCTTCATCCTCGAGGCTCCCCGGGGGGCGGTGAGCTCGCTTCATCCACGACCGAAGCTTTTCTTGAGCGACCAGTGGTGGGTACTCCTCGTCCACTAGGCCCCGTTTGAATTTCTCTCTAGTCCTGCTCCTCCTGGAGAGGGAATATCCTCGGAAGACAACGCGACAGATGGAGGTCCAATGGAATCGAAGGCATGAGAAGCGATCGCCGAAGTTGCGAGCTCGACGCTCGCTCCGGAGATCTCTCCTCCTCTCTCTCTCTCTCTCTGTCCAAGGAGAGAATAACGAGTTACGAGAGATTCCTATCCCGATTGAAAGTGCTCGCGGTCTGGAACCTTGGTCCGCAGCGGGCTTGTTCCAGACGAGCTCTGCACTGTTGTGATCGAGCCATTCCGGCCGAATATCCTCGCACAAGTCTCCTGCCGAACGAATCCATTCCGATTCGGATGTTGGTCGAAGTTTGATTCTCTTCATTTCGTCGCTCGTGACGGCCGCCGTTCAGAAGTTTGGAAATCGAGTGTTAGTCGATCTCCCTGCGCGCCAGACCCACGCATCATCCGTACCTGTTAACAGAGCACTCATCTTGTCTAACGGAACCAGTGCAATACATCGATTGTCACCGATCCCACCGAGCCCACACTGTCACCCGAACGGAATTGATCTCAGGTAAAGAGTGGGCGGAGCGACCTCTGATGGACCCAGAAGTTTTCCACGCGAGCATTGACGCACCACTCCAATCACGCACGCGCGTACGCACGCAGACAGGCAGTATCAGGCAAGCACGTTCTTTCACACCCACAATAATGCAGTCAACGCAAGCCGCGTATAAACAAGCCCGGGCGGCATGATCTTATGAAACAGAGACACTTGTGTTGTGTGTCGACGGTTGAGAAGACTGGAAGCAGCGCTGCCGAGCGACTTGCCGAGGGTGTAACTGAGCAGCAGCATCTTCTTCCTCGTCCACTGAGAAGAAAGGGAAACGTGCACCTGTTGAACAGAGCAAGGGGCCTGGCTCTAGAATGGCTCTTTAAGAATCGGAAACATTCGTTATTTATTCGTTCTTTACGACTGTACGGGATGACAGAATCCGGTCGCTCGTGTGAAACAATCGATCGATCTCCGCGCTGAAAGACGGGATCCACGATCCACCAATAAATCGAAGCACCTCGAATGACGGACCCACGGTCCCCCAGTATTTCCGGCCGAATTTCCACCACTTTATTTCTTTTTCCTTCTTAGCATCGTTGACGATCTGGATGATGGTGCTCCCGGAATTTAGGACTTATCCCCCGCCGGAAACTTGTGCTCTCTTTCTTCCCATGGACTTCAGGGGTTTGTGGCCGCGTTGCGTCGGCAGCGGAATAACCGAGCGTCGGTGGACCGAGGCTCAGCGTCCGAACTTGCGGCAAGAACCCTCTGGCAAGGGCGGCGGCAGTACGATGATGGCGGAGGGACAAGGCCGAAAGACAAGTGATTGACACATCGATACGCAAGAAACCGAGCTCGAGTTCTATTCGAGCTCAACCCATCCGACTCGAGCTGTCGCGGACGAGCATCTCTACGCTCAGGCGAACAACTTCCATCTCGCTATCCCGCCCGCTGGTTCGCGCACGCACGCCTGCCCGCCCGCTCGCCCTCCTACCGCCTGTTGGCCCTCCTCCCCATCCTCCGGACCAAGCGTGCGACTACCGCCGGTAGAGATGCCGACCGAGTGAGAAGGAAGAAGATTCGCCACTTGATTCGGTTGTACATCTCTCCGAGCCGGACGAGCTCTCAAAGAGAAGAATGACATCTGTTTTAGATTGTCTCAGCGCCTCGATGTATTTGATACACTACCCACAAACAATTCGGTATGCGGAAGGGTCGACTATACGAACGCTTCGCGTTTCTATTGTCGGTGTCGTCGAAGAAGTTTCGCCGAATGGGAAATTGATTGGACGGATCGAACTGACGCTCGAATCTCTAAACTGAGATCATTGAGCGGCGTGTGAACGCGGTCCGAGCGTCGATAGCCATGAAAACCGCGCCTGTTTGCGTGAATGACGGACGACACAAGGCTCGTATCGAAAATCGGAACGCGAAACGTTTTTCTCGCGAGAAGCAGCGAGGAAATTGTAGAGACGAAATGCACGGTCACAGTACACCAGCCCCTCGACCTGTCAGTGAACTTTGACAAATGCGTCGCTGTGTGCTTGGATGGATGGATAAATACGCGGATGCTGCGTGGAACTCAGTAATGACGTTTCCGAAAAGCAGTGCCCCTCCTACATCAGTCCGAGTTCCTTTTCCCCGATCGAGGGGCTTCAGCATGTATTATTATCCTTCGGTGCGCTCCCCGTGTCGGAGGGGGGGGGCTCCTCCGAAAGCTGATGCTAGCTCCTCTTCCACGTAAGCGAGCTCCTTTCTCGTGTTAGTCAAGTACCCGCTCTGAGGGGGCAGCGACAGACGAGGAATGGAGCACAGAAATAGGAGAAGTGAATGCGGATAAATTTCATGAACGACGTCACGAACACCAGCGGTGCAAAATCCTTCCAATGATTGAGAGATTTGGGACGGCCGAAAGAGCAGCCCTTGTTGCCGGTCGGTCGGTCGGACAAGCGATCAGACGAACAGACGGATGGACGGTCAGTCAGTCAGTCCGCTAGCTCGCAGAGCGGCTGGACGACCAGCCAACGTCTTCTGGATTGACGGCAGAAGAGGGTTTGTAGACTTTTGAGAAATTTTAGTTTTTCAAGATGTTTCCCTCTTGTTACAATCAATGGTTACAGGATTCGCGGAGCGAGAATTCCCGTGACACACATTCTTGGCTCGCTTACCCTCGCCGCTTCGAATGACCGGGACTTTAACCCGCGAGGAATAGCCGCGCGTAGAGCGCTCGCCAGCCCTGGCGTTGGCCGTCATTGGAACTCACACTGCAGCGCAGGAATGAATCCGCGCTTTTTTTCGTTTTTCCTCTCGCTCTTCCGACTCCGGAGCTCTGA